AGGGTGTTCTGGGTTCCCCGCCGTGGGCATCTTGCGTGCGGGACACGAGGGCCGTGGCCTTCACAGGGTTGACTACTTTGGAGCCGGCTAGGGGGTCTGAGCTGGCCCAGCAGTGGTTCCAGCGAGCAGGAAGGGGGGAATAGGTCTGAGGTCCTCGATTGGAGAAGGCTCTTTACAGCCGGCCCTCATTAGTAGGTCGACCCTGCCAAACCAAGGGTACCCTTAGGTACCCGTGCGTCCTGTGCCTCGCGACCCATGCCTCCGACATGCCCCATGGCAAGACCTCCCCAAGGGTCTTGTGTCCTCTCGCGTGTCCTGTCCAATCAAGGCCGACTGTACCCTTTCCTGTCGGACCCCCGGACCGACAGAAAGGGATCCAGGGCGAAACGCTGCACGAGACGGACCCCAGGACGGGTCTGGGGACATATATGTTTAGCGGGCTTGGCTTCATCCCCCCTCCTGGCCGATTTCCATAGGGGTCCTGACCAGTTCAGACCCCCAGCGGCCTCCAAGAAATACATGCCCCGTTTTCCGCTGCCAGGCAGATTCGTGCTATGCCACGTGCCACCTCGTCCAGCAGGCTGACCGCTGCGTGCAACCCCACGGGTAGTTTATCATCGCGTGTCTCCGGTTTGGAAGCGAGGGTGGTCAAATGCGAGGCAGCTTTGTTTGTGCCTTAGGCCTGCAGGGTATCGTGCCTCTTTGAGGTCTTGCCTTCACAGGGCAGTGCGGATCCACCTCGCTCCTCATCCTCCCCCTCCTATGATCGTGCGACGAGAGCTATGCACGTGCACCGATCCTGGCCAGGCCCAACCTGGGCTCAGGATGGGCCTGGCCAGGATCGGTGCATATGCGTACTTCTCTTTCCTCTATGTTTAAAGACGTGATCAGAGTAGCACAGTCAGAGGAGAAGGGGGACGGAGAAGGAGGGGGTTGACCCGAATAGTTGCTTAGTTCCTGGTGTGGCCCAGGTCTTCGACGAGGATCTGATTTTGTTGCAGTCCTGGCGTGTTTCCTCGACTTCGACCTCATGAGGCCCGTTGTCGGGCGTACAGGCTATCAACAGGTGGATATGCGACAAGCAGCTACCCCCAGGGAAGGGCTTGACCTATGGGGCCGCACATAAGAAACAATCACACGAGCCTTGGTTCGCAGCCCGCGGGCGACGAGAGCGGTATTGGCACCCCCTATCAGCCGAAGAGGTAGGTGACCGAATAGAAATCGGGGACCGAAGTTGTGACAGAAAGCGTATTGTGACCGAAATTGTAACCGAAATTGGAAACAGTCTTGGTTTCGAACCAAATAGTTCGGTCACACTCGGGCGCGGTCGGAAAAAATTGGGCGCCCATATCGGTCACACTCGGACAGGTTTTCTGGCACAGGTTCGGTCACGACGCCTCCCTGATAGAGACAAGGCTGCAGTTTGTTTATGTTTTTGCTACCAGCTAACGGGGGCGCCTGTCCCAGGGCGGCTGGGAATCGCCGCAGTGTGGTGAGTCGGTGGGGATTCGGGCTCACCGCACGGTTTTGGGACTCGGGTCGTTCTCCGAGGATGCCCCCGGCGATCTGGGACTTCCAGGGCCCCAGAGCCGCGTGGTGACGCACCGCGCGGTGAGGTCTCTTGGGATTTCGAGCACACGGCTTTGTGGCCTCGCAGGGAATGTTGTTCAGGAGGGGAAAAAACACACAGACACAATTATTCCTCGATCCCCCAGAAAATATAGGAACATGTGGGAGGTGGGTGGGAAGACAGAAACCCAGAAAAAACATGGGAAACTATGGGGGATATGTTTATTTGGGTGTATTTACCTGTGTGTCCTGGGGCCCCTTCAGTTGCACCCGACGTGCAGCACGAACACACACTCATCGGACGTCCGCGTGGACGCCACGGGGCCAGGCCCCCATGGACGGCGCCCCGGGCGCGGCCTCTGGCGCGCTCCCCGCGCGCTCAGGAGGGGGCCCCAGCGCCGACCGCGGAGATCCGCTCGGCCCTCGGAGGCTTATGGCATGCCAGAGTTGACGGGCCTGTTTTCCACCACCACCATCGTAAGTTGGAGGGGGAGGGGGTCGTCCTCCTCCTCCTCCTCTCTCCTCGTCCTCCACCTCCTTCCCCCCTCCAACTTATGGTGGTGGTGGTGGAAAACAGGCCCATCAAAAGTTGGTTGTTCCTCGCAGTGCTGGAGTATGTGCGCGCCGCGTCGACGCGGCGGCGACCCCAGGCGCCGCCGGAGGCCCGGAAGCGGCCAGGATCGAACGATCTGCGGCCGCGACCGCTCCAAGGTGCAGCGAGCCGCGCGGTGTCAGAAACCCGTGCCTTGGTCGTCCCGACACGATCAAATATTGCCTCCCACAAGAAGCCACAGCGCAACATGCTGCGACCTGGAATGTTTGTCCAGGGGTTCGGTTTCGCGGCCGCCCGCTTTAGCCACGACCGCGACGAGCCCTTTGTCGCTACGGACCAAGAGCTCCAGGGGGTCCTCCCCGACCTCCGCTGGCGTAACTGCGTAACCGGAGGGGATTGTTCTTCTCCGCAGAGGGCAACAACAAGCATGGCCCAAACGTCGCAGGCTCACCTACCATTCTATCGGACTGAGCGGACGGCCAGATGCGTCGAGCTCGGCGGTGCAGCTGTTCCAGAGCGGTGGCGTCTCCAATCGGCTCGCGTCTTGCCCCCGAGAGGGGGACTGCGCCTGGCTGGCCAGTGCCCAGTCTGTCCTCCTTACCTCAAGGCAGGCGCGCCTATGTGAGGGGCATGCGTCCAGGGCCACGTGAGGAGGGGATAGGCCCAGGGGGGGAAGCGTCGACCCGCCATCGCCGAGTCACCGCCGACGGGGGCCCGATGGCCCACCCCGCCCAGGACCGTGCGGAGTCGCTGCCGGGGGCCTGTCGCCGATGCATCGGCGATACCGCCGAGGCACGCTCGATGTTCCCCTCCCTGAGCTGGTCCTCCCCCTGACGTTGCCCCTCCGCGCCCCGCAGGGCCGCGGGAGAGCCCAGGGATGCCGGGGGAACTCCCGGGGCAGAGTCCCACGGCGCTGCAGCCGTGGGCGTGCTCGGGGGCCTTGAGACGGGGGTCTGGGTTGACCTGGGTCAGAAGGTCCCCGACGTGCAGGAGGGAGCTGAGGACTTGATTGGGCGTCTGTGTTTCTGTGGATATCACGACCCTTCCGAGCTACGTCTACTTCAAGCCCAGGCTCTGGCCTCGCGCTGCTTGCTGCGCAGCCCGCACGTCCCCTTGCACACCTTCCCGCCCGCGGACTTCTCAAACGGGTGTGGGTATCGTGGCCATGGCAATGGCACCTCTTAACTCGGTGTCTGTCTTTGTTCTTCCCTACGAGCGTTTCGCTAAGAGGGTTCTAGCAGTGTGATATGAGTGGACCACAGGAGAGTCCCACAAGGGGGGACGGTGAACCCGCGCCCGTCAGGTGCCGGCTGCCGTTTCGCGCAGACACACCCTCACAATTGATCCAGGAAGTGCGTGTTCGCCTCCATGCCAGGTGCATTTTGAGTCCAGACGGCCACGATCCTGGGTAACAGATACACTAAGGTGCACATGGTCGTGCTCATCCTAGGAATACCCAGGAATGCACGCTTTCACTCGCCGGCCTACTCCTCGACCCGACTCTTCACCTTTGCTGCTGTAAGGGTGCCTGGCTGGCGTAATTTCATCAGCGCGTCATTTGGGTCGCCCTCGTCCGCGCAGATTGCGTGCGGCCATGATGCGCCAAACCCAAGTGTTCCCTTGTTCCCCGTTGCGTCGCACCCAAGTACAGGAGGCCCAGTGAGGGGCTGGGGACGCCCAGGGAGACCGTGGTTCAGGACTCCAGGCCCGCGACACCTGGGCGAGACGCCATCGGGCTCGTGGGATCACGGGGCTCGAAGTTGCGATTATCAGGGCTTGGGATTCGGAGCCCTCGTCCAGCGAGGCTTGGTCACCGTCAGGAGCAGTTTCAAAAGTCCCTCGTGTTTGGGCTGTTGCGGAAACTGTTGAATCTTCACTACTAACAAAGTGTTTCCTTTGAGAACATGGGTCATGCTCGAGCGTTTTGGGGGGGCGTTCAAATCGGTCTCCTAACAGCAACAACGCTCCTGTTCGATACTTGTTCGCTCTTCACTCAGGGCAGGTGACCTTGCTCACCGCCGAAGTCCGGTCTTCCAACCAAACCAGCGCTCCCGTTCGATACGTAACTGTTTTTTCCCCAGGGGAGGCGTTCGCGCTTTGGGTGGAGGAGGTGGCCCTGCTCCCGCTAGATATGTCTTCGGCTTCTGCTCAAGACCAATAGTCTTGCTCGTCGCCGAAAACCGGCCCTCCAACAGAACCAGCGCTCCCGCTCGATATTTCACCGCAAAGCGCCACAACAGGCCCCTGGACGGCCCAGGGTAGTCACAAGACGGATCAAGATGGCGCCAAGATGGCCCGACGGAGGCTCCAGATATTTGAATTGAAGAAGGCAAAATGCCTCGTAAGAGATGTCGGTAACATGTTCGGGCGGGAGATCTGGGAAAGGGAATATCGCGATCTCGATGCATGGCATATTTCACGCGTGACGAGGGGATGATGCATGCATAATACGTATCGAATATTTGAGCAAGATGGTACAATTTGTGTTACATCGTTCTGTTAGAAAATAATTGTTGATCGCCCCTGCCCGGTGCCGATTGTGTTTTTCAAATCAGGTGCTCATCCCAGGGCTCGCACCTTGTTTTTTAAGCAAGGGGAAATATTGAGCCTCAGTGGGCATCTTGCCCCTGATTTGCCACAACAGCGACTCCCGCCTAATACTTCCTGACAGTACATTCAACATCGCGCTATCAAAGGTCGTTCTTGCCCAGGGTCACTCGTACGTGTAGCCGACAGATGGTCGGCTCAAGGCGGCAGAAGAATATGTTGGCGGCCTCGCTGGCGGAAGCTGGCGGAAGGTTGGTACACGCCAGCGAAAGTTCTGTCGATCTCTCCACGGGGTCATTCCTGTTGTTGCTGCTGCCGCCCGCGACCGTCATGGCTCGAGACATCGCGCTTTGGGCTCTGCCGGCGCGCGCTGCAGGGCAGATGCGTCAGACCTCCTGCTTGCGGCCAGCCCCATTCACGCTTGCGCCCCTGCTGCCCTGGCTGGTCCTCGCAGCTGGTTGGGCTGGAGACGGCAACGAACTCTGCCAGGATGCCGCGTGCCATCCGGGGGAGGAGCTCGGGCATTTAGAGAACGCCCGCCCAGACAGGTCTACAGGAAAGCTGCGCGGGTTCACTCGGCATTGGCTTGCCAGATTGCCAGTGCAGTCTCCAGTCGGTTGCGCTCATCGACGTGCGTCTCGCCGGATACATGCGATTGTGTTTGGACGTCGGTGTGTTCCCCCGCTGGGGTGCCCTCGGAATGCGGTGCCTTGCGCACGTGGATTGCCCCTGGCAGCTTTCACCAACGGGCGCTTCGCTAAAGGGGGTTCTGTCCACCCTCGAGGATCGGATGAGAGCCGCGTGAGACAGGGGCGGTGAGACAACGGCGGCCCAAATTCACAGCAACTCTGTGCCCGGGACCCCTCCCGGGGCCCAGAGGGACCAGTTTTCCGAGCTACGTCCAGCCGTGGCGACGAAGGGTACCCCCCTGCGGGCCAAAATGGCGACCCTTGCCTCCACGCGCCCTCCTCCGAACAGGAGAGGGAAAAGCCACCCAGACGCGAATACGTCGGCTCCTCGGAAAATATAGGGAGATCTGAAAAGTGGAGGGGGAGACAACCATCCAGGAAGCATTGAACGTTTGGGGAATCCTTGGATTCGTGTCGCATGCCCTGAGATCCGACGTCTCAACCAAGACTGAGACATCGTCAAAAGCCACAGCTGAAGCTCCAGACCCATCTTTCTCTGTCAGTTTTGTAAGCCCGATCGATCTACGAGGGTCCCCGGCCTGCATCCGGGGCTCGAACACGTTGCGACGCCAGGATCTCGGGAGGGCTCCCGGCCTGAATCTGGGGCTCGAACAAGTTGCGACGCCAGGATCTCGGGGTGGGCCCCCTCGGACAGGGCGCCCCCCTCCGAGAGGAGCAGGCGCTGCTGCAGAGCAGGGCCCTGCAGCGCGGGGCGGCGCCGCGGCGGGCCCGGGCGGGGCCGGCCGCCTGCGCGCCCGGGGACGGCGTGCGGTGCCCGGGCTCGGGGCGCCCGTGCGCAGGAGGCCAGTGCTGCCCGGCCGCGGTGGGCTCCGGCGGCACGTTCCCGTGCCCGTCGCAGGGCCCCGGCAGCCAGGGCTTCTGGAGAGCAGGCTCGTCGAGGAGGGAGCATCCTCCCCTTTCCTTACCCCCCCCCCCTTAGCGATTCCTATCCCATGCCAAGAGGATTTGATCGTGGAGAGGGGCGGCGAGGCCGAATTTGATAATCCACGAGCGCCCAGGATCATCATCATCATCATCATCATCATCATCATCATCATCATCATCATCATCATCAGCATCAGCATCAGCATCAGCATCAGCATCAGCATCAGCATCATCATCATCATCATCATCATCATCATCATCATCATCAGCAGCAGCAGCAGCAGCATCATCAGCAGCAGCAGCATCACTCGCCGGGAAAATCGTCGATTATCCCCGCCAGACCCCGAGTTTTATTATCCCCCAGGGATTATTATCGGGGGCACAGGGTTAACCCTAGTAGTACCACAATGCAGGCGTACTGAGGGATAGTAGTTCTGGGCGGTTTGGCTCGATACATCGGCAGAGAAGACCCCCCCTTATCCCGAATGTTTTTGGCCCTCCTAACTTCGGTCCCCTCCCAAAGGATTAGGAGCCCTTTCTCTGCGAATCATTTAGCACCCCGCAGTTCCAGATAAGAGTGAGGGGGCGGGATGGGGTGGGTCGCGGGCGGATCGCGGGTGGGTCGCGGGCACGTCGCGGGCGGCCAGTGCTGCCCGGCCGCGAGGGGCTCCGGAGGCACTCGGAGGAGGAAAAGGTACCCGTAAACCGCTACCCCCGCCTCGTTCTCGCTTTGTTGTACTTCCTGGGAGGCCCTCGTCGCCACCGCTGGGTTCGCCACAAAGCCTAGTCAGGACGCGCTCTGGGAGAGGTCCGTGGAGTAGCAGTATCGGTACCTTTTTTGGTTTTCCCCAGGCGCGTTCTTGTTCCCATCTCGGGGCCCCGGAAGCCAGGGCTTGGAGAGTGTGTGTTTACTTTCTGGGCAATGACGCGCGTGATGCCCACGCCTCCCCTCCCCGCCATCCCCCACCCAAGACGTAACGCTCCGTCATCGCTGCGATTAAAAAGAACATTCTCTGCGTTAGCCAGGACTTTGCCCCAAGTGACGCTACTTAAGACAATGCCAATTTTCGGGTTGGGGGGTGTACGGTTTCTATTGTATTTCCTCAGTGTTTCGGAATGCCCCCTCCGCTGGAAATTGTCAGGACCAGCGGCAACTTCGGGTTGGGTGGGGGTGGCTTGGTAGGCAGTCGAAGTGCTCCCAAGCGCTGCGAGACGCCCTCAGGCGCTCGGAGGTGTTCCCAGCCGCTCGCTCCCAGGCGCTCCCAGAGACTCCCAGGCGGGCGCTCTCCGTCGCTCCCAGACGGCCCCCCGCGCTGTCTAGTCTAGAGCGCTCTTCAGCGCTCCCCGGGCACGGTTGCCAGGTGCTCCCGAAGCGCTCCCAAGCGCTCCCAGGCGCTCTCCGGCATTCCCTGAAGCTCCCAGACGTCCCCATTCGAGCCCAGGCGTTCGCAAGCGCTCCCGCGCGCTGCCCAGGCGCGCCCAGGCGCTCCCAAGGCGCCCCCGGGCGGGCAGGTCTCGACCCACGTCTGCCACTGTTTTCTGGGGGGCGCCAGCGTCCTGGCTTTTCTCAGAGTCCGCGTCTGCGGGGCCCTGGCCGTCCGCAGAAGCCAGCTTCTCGGGGTGCGTGAACAACACGAAGGTCGTGGACTGCCTGGACAGCGAGGAGCGTCAGGAAGTTGCTGCGGAGCCTCGCACCTGCGCTCCCGCAGGGGAAGTGGCGTGCCCGGGCTCGGGCAACGCCTGCGCGGGCGACCAGTGTTGCCCGGCCGCGATGGGTTCGGGTGGCACCTTCCTTCGGCAGCAAATCATGGGAGCCTTTCAAACCCTCGCAATCCATGTTTTAGGGCAGCAGCATCGACCAGCGTCTGGTATTCGATGAGATAGCTCCGGATTGGCATCGATTAGCGTCGGTCAGCGTCGACCCAGCGTCAGAGTATCGATTCGCAAGCGCCAACAAGGTGGTATGGGATGCTCCCATGAGTTTCCACCGAACGATCCCGTGCCCGTCAGCGAGCGTCAACTTCTCGGGGTGCGTGAACAATACGAAGGTCTTCAATTGCCTTGCCACCTCCTTGGCGCAGGGTGCAGCAGTAGAGGAGCAGGGCGCGCCGCCCCCGCACTGCGCAGGTGTCCCTCTGCAGTCCGACAGGTATGCCGACTATCCTCTCGGAGGGGGCACGATCTTCGAGTTGAAGAACATTGTGCAGCCATCCGATCCGACCACCTATCAGGGGGACCTTTTGGACGCGGGGCGCGGAACCCCAGAAATGTATGATCGGAAGGACAATAAGTTTGCGAACCGCGACGCGTTTCTCTTCAAGTGCACATTTACGTATGATCGAACGGACTACCCGTTGACTTTGCGAGCAAGCGCGGAGGATTTCGTGGACCATGGCGAAGTGAGGTTGAGGATCGAGCCGTTTTTAAAGAGTGTTGGGCGGATGCCTGAGGTGTTGATGCAGAACCTCAGATACCTCCATATATACAAGGGAACTCATCCTTGGGGGGGCAACCCATATTATCAAACTTTGATGATGTATTTGGATAAGTACGATCATGATCAGATAGGTGAGGTGGTCATGCATGAGCTTTCACACACCTCGTTGGATAACCGATTGTCTCCGGGCCGCTATGCTGAAGCAGTCGACTCAGATTGCAAGCAGTATTTCAGCAAATACGCCAGAGATGAACCAGGCCGAGAATCATTCGCAGAAGGGTTTCTTGTGTACTTTGCTTACACGTACAGGAAGGACAGGTTGACCGAGGTGCAGGCCGAGAATATCATCAAGACGGGCCCACATCAGATAGCATTCTTCGACGCAAACATTTTACGACAATACACACATCCACCGTCTTAAGCGGCAAGAGGTCTTTGCACTATGGGCATTATTTGTTTTGATCGATGTGATTACAGTGCGCAGATTTTTATTTTGCTTGCACCCAGGGCTGACCGCTGGAAGCCGGAACAGGCTAATTCGCAGAGCGGCGCTTTGAGCTTCTGTCTGGTCGGTTGCCTCTGTTCCCTCCCTTTCCCCTCCTCTTCATCCCCTCCCTCCCTTCCTTTCCTCCTCTCCCCGCCCTGCCTCACTGTTGCCCCCGCGCCACCCGCGAAGTCTGCAAGGCGATCGCTGTGATGGCAAGTTCCTGGAGAGCGATTCTTCGCCGTGCCCACGGGCTGCACAGCCTAAGGCTCCAAGTCCAAGAGAGTCGAAAACTAGACCTGTTAGCCTTTGAAGGTCGCCGTCGAACGCTGCTTGGCGCTGGGTTTGATGGCGCCGTGATAGCCAGAACTTGCGCAAACGAACACGATAGCAGTATTCGGTTGGTAAGTGTAGGGCGACCGAGCAGCCGATTTCCAGCAAACGCAAACGCGATGTGGGATCCTTCTCCTTTCCCCTTCTCCCGCTCCCATTCTCCCTTGCCCATTTTCACGTTTATCCCTCTTCCTCCGTCCCGAGCCGCTTCGGGGGGGTCCCGGGGCCCCGAGGCCGAAAGTTGCAGAAAGCGTTCTGTTTTGATAGTTTACAATCTGTTGGATGCCCGGGGAGTAGGGCGCCCCCCAGGGTCTTCGGATACACTTCCCGTTAGAATCGGCGCTGTTGGAACCGTGGTCGAAATCTGGCCGAGTCGAGTACAATGGCCCCCTGACCGGGTTCAATCCTGACTTACGGAGACCGCCCAGGATCTGCTATCTCTACCTAACTGGCAGGACCCAGACGTTCAGACGCTCTAATTGTTCCGATGCGCTGGCCCTGGA